TGTGAATGTGACAAACTTGTCCTTCCCTTAGTTCGGGCCTACATTTGTTTATAAAAGAATGTGAATTTTTTTTACTGCCTACAATAATTGAGTGCAATACGCGGAAACAGTTTCAAAAGCAGCTTAAAAATTTATGCGCATAACGTACAACAATTAGACAAAAGATCATACAAAAATAAGACGGTTTTTACATTGATTGCTCACGGACATCAAATGTAACACCCCGTATTTTTTCACTATGTGAACTTGAACTTATTATTTAGCAAATGAAAATGTGAAGATTTGTCATTATATTAAAAGTCCAAAGTTGAAGTGGTAGACTCGACTCGCGTATTCGTATAAATAATTTATTTGCTTATGAGTTACGAGCACTTTTAGAAAATTATTTGAATAGAATATTTAAGTATTTTTAAAGTTGATGAAAATATGCTGATATTATACTCGTTTTGTAGCTCGTGTTAAACAATATAATTTGAGCTTAAGAAAAAGTAATTTCGAGCTAGTTATGCTCGAGTTATTCTAATAGAAAGAAAATTATCATTCTCAAATATTTATTAATACATATATAATATAAAATAATAACCAAATGAATAGTTTCATTGTATGGTTACGTAATGTCATCCACTTTAATTGATTTAGAAATTTATAATACATTCCATAACCATGACATTAACTCTAATTAAACGTGGAGATGTCCTTTCAAATTTATAACCGTAACCATCACCTTCACTTTAATTGATTTTCAATTAAATCCTAGTTGTTTAATTACATTAATCCTCAATTAATGATCAGGTGGCTTTTCAATTTGTAACCGTAATCATAAACGTCCACTTATGGTGGTTTAACTCCATTATTCTTCCATTAACGTGAAATGCTTTTTGATGTTACGTAAGTTACGTGTGTGGAATATATAAATAGGTGTATTTAAGATGAAAATTATATTCTACAACAATAGTATATTGTACATTCCACACCACTAATATTTTTAGAATTTAATAGAGTATAATATTTATATCTTTTCACAAAGTCAGTTTCAAGTAAATTCTTGGATATCAAATTGGGGTAAGAATACATGGTACAAGTGGTAAATTCTTATTCCTTGATATATATGTAAATTTTGGCATGAGATACTTTAAGGCCTTCGGGTCGAATGCTATGTTAAATCCTTCGGGATAGACCGTTAGGTCAAAGAAAAGAAGTTAAATCCTACGAGATGGACCTCTGGGTCAATATTTTAAATCCTACAGGATATGGGGATTCTTAAGAAATTCCTTGAGCTGTTGGAATCGCGACCAGTTGCTCTAAATTTAATAAATGTCGGTATGTTATGCCATATTATGTTTATATCATGTTATAAGAATATGCAAGTAATTTTACTGAGTATTTTCAAAATACTCACTCTTACAATATTTTCAGATGAGAACGGGTCGTGTGGATGCGTGGAAGATTGACAGAGTGATACTAATGGTGTCGTCAAGTAAATTTTCTAGAAAGATAATTGTCCACTTTTATTTGAAAAATATCGTATGCATTTTATTTAATATGTTGTTCAAGCATTCGATATGTTATGTTATATTTTAAATTTATAAATTTCAAATCGAGTATTTTCGATATATTTTCGCTTAAATTAGATAGAGTAGGTTTTGGTAGTCTCTCGAGCTTATTTTAATTTAAAAATAATATAATACTATGAAAAAGAGTTCGGGTTTCAAGTAAATTCTTGGATATCCAATTGGGGTAAGAATACATGGTGCAAGTGGTAAATTCTTATTCCTTGATATATATGTAAATTTTGGCATAAGATACTTTAAGACCTTCGGGTCGAATGCTATGTTAAATCCTTCGGGATAGACCGTTAGGTCAAAGAGAAGAAGTTAAATCCTTCGAAATAGACCGTCAGGTCAAAGAAAAGAAATTAAATCCTACGGGATATGAGAATTCTTAAGAAATTCCTAAGAAATGTTGGTATGTTATGCTATTTTTATAATTATATCATGTGAAAAAGGATGTGCACGTATTCTTACTGAGTGTTTTCAAAATACTCACTCTTACAATATTTTCATATAAGAACGGGTCGTGAGGGCGCGTGGAAGATTGACGGAGCGATGCTAATGTGGTCGTCAAGTAAAATTTTTAGAAAGGACAATCGTCAATTTATATAAATAATATCTTTGTGTTAATATTTATGCACGATATTTATTATCTTGTTTAATAATTTGAAATCGAATATTTTCGATATATGTCCGCTTAAATTAGATAGAGAAAAGTTTTGGTAGCACCTTGAGCTCATTTTTATTTAAAAATAACAATAATAATGAAAAAGAGTTCGGGGTGTTACAGAATGGTATCAGAGTACGAGTTTAGCCGATTCTGTAGACTTGTCATTTATTTAGAAAAAAATAGTATATATTTTTTTTAATCTTGTTATGTGATTTATGTGTATAATTTTTTCCTTAGAATGATAATTTATTTTATTTTGAAGACATAGTGGTCTGTGTGTTAAAAAAATGATGTTGCCATTTTATTTTTTTAGAACTAATAGTTAGTAAATTTTCGAAAAAAACGAGGAAAACTTTTGTTGATTTTTTTTCTGCGTCAACGAAGCCAAGGGTTTCTGCAGTTGGATTCTGAATAATTTTCCTTTCCTTGCTCAATATTTTGGCTATTGGTTTGGTCAATTGGTCTAGAGTTTTTATGCTATTCTGCCGTCGATATAAAATTTGATAATATGACCAACGAAGATAAAAGATTCTACAGCATTATTGAACAATTTACCAAATTTACATGCACTAATTAATTAATGGTTTGTGTTTAACCAATGTGGCAGTGATTTATATGTTAAAGTCATCATTCATTCAATTTCTATCCTGTCATTTGCGTTTATCATTAGTAAAGTATGCCTAGATCCATGGAAGCATGCCTCTGTTGCCAACTTAAAGTAGTTAATATGATAGCCATTCACGTTTAAATGAAGTAAACTGACAATATGCCAGGACATCGAAGACTTTTATATTGAGTAAATTCTTGCTAAAAAAAAATGATGGTATTAGCATGAACATCGTTGCACTTTGTTACAAGCATGGATTACGGTTTCATAGTTTTAAAGGAAATGATTATTAATATTTTATTAGTTACCTGCCAATAAGTGTCTACTTGCTATTTTATTTTATTTTATTTTATACATCATGAGATTTTTATTAAACAAGTATTGAAGTAAGATCCAGACCCATGGCATTAGCGCTCATCAATCTACTACCGTTCGATGAACCCAAGGTATGAACGAAATGTTATGTTTAAGCTTAATTTCAAGCATGATTTATTAATCATTTAAGCTTCATACGATGAAATGCTTATAATGCTAGAAAGAAATGTATTATGCAAGTTATTATTTTTGTACATAAAGATATGATGGTTAGTCATTTTATTTAAAATTACAAGAGCAGAATGCATAAGTTGATTTATAAAGATAGAGCATAATTGAATGTTTATGTGATATACATGGATAGAACTTATCAAGTCACTAGAAAGAAGAGAAATAGAAGTCACGTATCGAGAGCTTTTCGATTAAATAAGATAATTTCAAGGACGAAATTAACTTAAGGGAGAAGGGATGTAGCACCAGGCATTTTTTTACTATGTGAACTTGAACTTATTATTTAGTAAATGAAAATGTGAAGATTTGTCATTATATTAAAAGTCCAAAGTTGAAGTGGTAGACTCGACTCGCGTATTCGTATAAATAATTTATCTGCTTACGAGTTACGATCACTTTTAGAAAATTATTTGAATAGAATATTTAAGTATTTCTAAAGTTGATGAAAATATACTGATATTACACTCGTTTTATAGTTTGTGTTAAACAATATAATTTGGGTTTAAGAAAAAGTAATTTCGAGCTAGTTATGCCCGAGTTATTCTAATAGAAAGAAAATTATCATTCTCAAATATTATATTAATACATATATAATATAAAATAATAACCAAATGAATAGTTTCATTGTATGGTTACGTAATGTCATCCACTTTAATTGATTTAGAAATTTATAATACATTCCATAACCATGACATTAACTCTAATTAAACGTGGAGGTATCCTTTCAAATTTATAACCGTAACCATCACATTCACTTTTGATTTTCAATTAAATCCTAGTTGTTTAATTACATTAATCCTCAATTAATGATCAGGTGGATTTTCAATTTGTAACCGTAATCATAAACGTCCACTTATGGTGGTTTAACTCCATTATTCTTCCATTAACGTGAAATGCCTTTTGATGTTACGTAAGTTACGTGTGTGGAATATATAAATAGGTGTATTTAAGATGAAAATTATATTATACAACAATAGTATATTGTACACTCCACACCACTAATATTTTTAGAATTTAATAGAGTATAATATTTATATCTTTTCACAAAGTCAGTTTCAAGTAAATTCTTGGATATCAAATTGGGGTAAGAATACATGGTACAAGTGGTAAATTCTTATTCCTTGATATCTATGTAAATTATGGCATGAGATACTTTAAGGCCTTCGGGTCGAATGCTATGTTAAATCCTTCGGGATAGACCGCTAGGTCAAAGAGAAGAAGTTAAATCCTTCGGGATAGACGGTCAGGTCAAAGAAAAGAAATTAAATCCTACGGGATATGGGGATTCTTAAGAAATTCCTAAGAAATGTTGGTATGTTATGCTATTTTTATGCTTATATCATGTGAAAAAGGATGTGCACGTATTCTTACTGAGTGTTTTCAAAATACTCACTCTTACAATATTTTCAGATAAGAACGGGTTGTGAGGACGCGTGGAAAATTGACGGAGCGATGCTAATGTGGTCATCAAGTAAAATTTCTAAAAAGGACAATCGTCAATTTATATAAAGAATATCTTTGTGTTAATATTTATGCACAATATTTATTATGTTGTTTAATAATTTGAAATCGAATATTTTCGATATATGTCCACTTAAATTAGATAGAGAAAAGTTTTGGTAGCACCTTGAGCTCATTTTTATTTAAAAATAACTATAATAATGAAAAAGAATTCGGGGCGTTACATCAAAGACATACAATCACTGGCATAATTACTTTTACCAGTCATTGAACATCCACTTATTCCACTCAAATTTCTTATTTATGTCCTTCATGATGGCGAATATGTCCTGATAACACTTCTATGCAAGAAGTGTGGATGCGAAAAATACAAAGGTGTACGTCGCTCAAGTTGTCATGTCGCCAACAACTCTTCAACACAGGTAGCGCCTGCGCTTTCGTTTGAAGCCATCATCGTATTAATCTTCGCTGCCACTTCCTCTTGACACTGATGACAGTCAACTGAGAAAGATAGTTCACGAGTAGAGATCTATTTCTTCCTGCCCCGTCGCTTCTCGTCAGAAGATTTCCTTTTACTGCTGCTTGTGGTGGTGGAAACGTTCACGCCAACCCTAACATGTTTGTTTGCTTGGCCTCGTCGCTCGAACCACTACTCTCTCCATTGACCGAGATCGCATCCCTGTTGTCTTCGAGTGCACTATCCTCGAATAGGCTGAATCCTGTTCTGTACAACTTCGTTGGAGTGACAGCATACTTGTTTTCGTCGTAGCTGTCATTGAATAGCTGATGATAGTGAATGTAGATCTCGTCGATGTCATTGTTCTTGAAGTCTTTGTTCACTTGCATAGCATGGGTTGAACAATGATAGTATCTATGAAATGAAATTTGAAATGTATCAATAAAGATAAAACGCAAGAAATGTGAACCAGTTTGAGCTGACACATGTTTATATTTTCATGTTTACCTTTGAGAACAAAGAATATCTCAGAACTAATAAACTTTTCATTATACCAGGTGATAAGCACAATATGATCTAAAGATCTAACACTATTAAACAAGTATATGAATCCTTCTAGCATTTCTTCACAAATATAAGACACCGCATCCTATCTAATTTCATTCATTGTTTTTTCAACAACCAAGTAGATGAAAAGCACTATCAAGCAGGAAATGAGCTTAAATCTCCTAACCAAAATTTTACAACCAACTTTTGCAAACATTTCGTATGCTTTATAACACAGTCAGAATGTTCTCTTACTTAATAGTAAATAAATCAGATATTGAGATTGCGCTTAGTTTGTGGGAAGTCATTTGGACTGTCAGCCAGCTAAGAGTTCAATCTTTGACAAAGGCTTTCAATCAAAATTAGCAAAAAAGTGTTATAACCAACTAGGATGTGTACTTCCATAAATAAATACGAAGATTGAGCTTAGTTTGTGTGGAAATTCTTTTGCACTGACAGCCAGCTTATGAGAAGAGAGTTATTAGAAAAGAACAACGAGAATGTTTCTACTTTAGACCACGAGAAACTTGTTTGAATATCATCACTATCCCCTTGCCATATTGACACATCGAAATGAAATCAATGAAAAATGCACCATGATTTAATACGAGTGTAACTGCTGCCACCAATTTGCAAAGATTGCAATATGAAATGGAAAGTATTAACCAAATATTTCATTACAATTAAAGAACTTTAAAACTAGAAATTGAACCACATCAAGAATTAGGATGAGAGTTGTCAGTTATGATTGCACGAACATGCTCAACCAATCATCCCCAAATCAAGAAAAGCAAGTTATCAAAGTTGGACAACGATTACATTTATGTTTGCTTAAATCTTTTGAAATAATTATGGACTGCTGATAAATATTAATAACTTGTTCAACATTTCTTCAAAGCCTACAAAACAGTCTGATGACAATGTAAACACAAACCAATTCACAAAAAAGCATTGAACGAGCACAGAAATGCACATTTACGACCACGAGTTTTTGAGAAGTTGTGAAACCGTTACCTTAATCTTTCGGTTCCACCATTCGTCCCATGCGATGATTCGACTGGTGGCTTCATTGTACTCGACCCTGCTGCAGTTCACCTGCTCCGATAGACATTTGTGGGTTCGACGCATTGCATCCCAATGGTTGCGCAGTTGCTGCTTGCTCTAGTTGTGGCCAATGACTGAGTTGAAGAGCACGGACACTCGTTCCCTGCCGTGTTTGGTAAAACATCGACAGTTTCGATGTCCCTCAGCAATGACGATTTCGTAGGCTGCAATGAATGCTCGGGTTGCGTCCGAGTTCTACCAGGCATAGGATTTCGAGCCCGAAGCTCGTGCCGTCTCCTTTGCAGCGGACGACATGCCTTGTGGAATGGCTCCTGGCTGGAAAGTAGAACAGGTCCCTCAGGAATGAGGGAAAACCAATGGAAAGTGTGGGAGAAATGGTGAAGGAAGTGAAAGTACCCGTATGCCGACGGGCTCCATTTTTTTTTGGGCGGAGATGCTTCGTTTCGGTGATTTGGTATAGGCTACTGATTGTAAAGAAATGGTCGACGTCGAGCACCTTTTTCCGCACTCTTACTTGTCGCGACAGTCACCACAGTGAAAATCGGCTCCTCTGTGTGTGGAAGGTTTGGTGGTCATAAGGATTGTGATGCAGAATGTCGTCGGTTTCAGCCCCAAGCTGAGAGAGTTCTTCTGTCGGTGGGAGGGATAGTTTGAGAAAAAAGGAAAGTTTATGCATTGCACACTGTCGCATGGTTTGCCAGACAAGTGACTACCAACTGTTCAAAAATGTATTAATGACAAAATAAAATGGCTACCAAACAACTCCTAAATGGTAACAAGCAGCCAGATGCATCTTACCAGGATGCTCAATACAAGTCCACAGGCTACCCTGTTTTGGTACATTCAAAGGGGGGTATATTTATCAGTTTACAACAAATTTATTGAGAAAATAAAAGAAAATATTGTCTTCCGTACTTAAAAGGTCATCTAGGACATTTTGCATCATTCTGCAAAGATGGGGGGTATTTCGCTTTTTTGAGGTCCAAGGGATTTTGCATCAATTATTCAATAAAAATTACACGACTTCATTGAAACAGTGCCACAAAAGTGGCTCTTTTATTTTAGTTGCCATATTTGGGAAATTTTGAAATTGACACTCGATTTATAGACCTTGTTGCAACTTTGTCACCAACCTTTTACTCAGCGCCAAATAAATCTTTTAGCTTTTGAAGTATCATTGGTCTTTACTCATCAGCTATGGTCCATTTACCTTTAAAATGATATATTTGTTTTTTTTATATTGAAAGACATTAATGCTCTTATATTTATTTAACATATAAAAAGACAAAAAATAAAAATGAAAAAGGAAATGTCTGCATAAACCCTATTGTAGCTCTAACCACCTACCTGACCTAGCACAATTGCTGAAGTGGCTCGCCATCCGTATCTACCTTTGGTGGCTCCTCACCCTTTTCTCATTGGTTGTCATCACCCTTCCTTTCCGCCACCCATCCCAGCGCTAATTCCCCAACGCTAAACAGATAAGACAAACAATAGAAATGTTGAAACATACTAAACGAAATTAATTTAATAAATTTTCCCAAGTTACAAAGAGGAGATTAGGGTTGGACAATGGGTAGTAATACAAATCCAAAACGAAATGAAATTCTAAGTGCTAATCACGAGGACAGTAATATAAATCCAGAATGAAAACAAGAGATGGCAAAACTGCCCAAAGCTAGCTCTTCAGCCAAGCGCTTCCACCAACGGATGAAGATCTTCACGACGAGAACACAGGAGATGGGAGAAAGTCTAAGAGCTTTAACAGCGAAAAACTCTTTCTCACGTGCGATGGCATTAAATCCCAAAATAGACTTTCACTTGGAATCTGGAGAAACCCATCCTGAGCCTACCGTAAGTTTTTTATTTCCATCCGATTAGCAGTGTCACAATATTTGAGCATCCAATAACTCGAACAGTTTGCTTCACAAGCGATGGTAGAACCGCCAAGCTATCGGATCTCAAAGCAGATTTGACAAGTTAAGGAAGAAAGTAAGCTCCCGAGAAATGAAGTATAATCTCATCATGAGGATAGAAAGGCGAGCTTGCTGAAATATTCTTGCTAAACTCCACAATACCAAGAGTACGAAGATAAACCAGCGATATCTTATGAGTTAGATGAATACGATGAGAGCTTGCTACTTTCAAAGGAGATTAGAGGATTACCATTCAGGATAATTTTGTCGAAATTGGAGTTCATGACTTGCGAAAATAAATATTTAAAAAATGAAGTCCACCTCTTCAAATCTGAACTTAATCTTTTAACGAGACAAGTGAAGACATCCAAAAACCTTCAAAATATAACCTTTGATGCTTTAGAGGCTACAAACAAGGAAAAGACGAAGTTGAAGGCCCAAGTTGAGGTAGCTGACTAGCCAATTGATTCTAACTCCTCTCATATTCACATAATTTATCTCCTACAAACTAGTACAAATTGTTAGAAGAATGTGGCCAAGGCTTCAGAGGTGGAAGAGGCTGTCGTGAGCACTCTGACGATCAATTTGAATATATGTAAATAGTTGTGGGATGAATAGAAGATGTAAGCCACAATAATGTACATGTACCAGGGTGTATAAAAGAGTAATGAAAGAGCAATATTATTATGAGTGTATAAAATTGAATCACCTTCAAATGACATTAAGCCCTCGTTCGGTCCTATTAAATTCTATTTCATTTTTCTCTATCCTATTTTCAATCACACAATCTTCTATAAAATAATATTACAAGTAAATCGAGAATTTTTCCTTCTTTTTTAGCCACTCATTTAAAAAAAAAAAAATACTATTCCACTCATTTTCATTTCAAAAAATGGAGACCAAACGAGGGCTAAGTGTGACGTTTAAAAGAGGTGAAATGATTATCGTTGGATGAGGAAACACAGCTTCACCTTGATGGCCGAAACGCCTTACCATAGACATCATCCACCAGTCCTAGTTTAGGGGCATTCAATGATTCTAAAATGTAGCCACCTTACGACTGTGTGATTGAGACTTATTAGCTTCGGGTTGGTGCCATAGAAGGTTATTTTGCCTCACCTCATTCATGTATGGTTTGACCCCTTCATGGGTGGTCAATGGAGTGCATTATTTTAATTACCCAAGGATTTCGGATAGGTCGAGTAGGATAGTGATGGAGAGTCAGAGATTAAGTTCGATTGTTACGTGGCTTCCACGTGATCGATTCTTGGAGCCTTGTTGGATGAGGCGTAATATCAATCTTTGAATATTCAAAAATATTAAATTCAAATGGTACTGATCCATCCTTCATCTAATGGTTGAACCACAAACTCGGGGACTCCATCATGATTTGGGTTGGGTTTGTTAGCTTAGTAACCACCGTTAAATAATAGATATCAACATGCAAGTTCTTTAATATAATTAATTCTGTGGATTGTATTCCTTCTAGTTGTTGATAGATTATTATAAATCAGTTAGCACTTTATCAGTTAGTACTTTAATAAATAAGAGTATTTATGTAGTTTGAAATAATAAGTGTTGTGATATTTTCAAATGAAGTCGTGTTTTGTTTTGCAAAAAATCATATATTTAGTAGATTTTGATATTAAAAAAAATTGATAAAATAAGTGATAGAAAAGTTGATAAAAGCTGTAGATCCCATGAAATAAATTATTAAAATTAATTAAATCTATACCAATCAGCGGCTAAGTTTCTTTGAATTAATTTACGGTGGTGTTCTCAACTAAAATTTTAATGAATTTTAAATGATTATAAATTCTAATGAATTTGGTGAATTTAAATAGATTCTTACAAATTTCATAAGAATATCATCAAATATGGTGAAATTTCAAAAGATTTACTTATATGTATTTTTAAGCTTGAAATCCATCCAAATATTTTAAAATCGTTCTATTAATGAAATCTTTATAAATCCACTAATTATTGAGTAAATTTTAAAGGATTTCATTAAAATTTAGGGTACACCTAAATTTTAATGAATTTAATTAAAATCCAATAAAATCTCAATTGAAAATACCTAAATTTAGAATGACTTTCAAAATTCATTGCAATCTCAATTGTGGACACCCCCTTAGCTTGTGGTTTTTATTTCCTTTAAATTATTTGAAATTAGCGCATGATTAGGCAACTCGTTAACTATCTTCCACTAATATATCTATGACTTTTCCCGGATAAGCTCAAATGTCGATAGGCCATTCGTCGTCACCCATTTTCGTGTTGACTTAGCATCTATATAATCCACATCCACAGCTTCAATTCATTCATTGTCTGGAACATCGTCCTGACACAAACAGAAGTTGTCAGGGCAAAGAGGAAAAAAAAAAATTGAATAAAAGGAGAGGAGAAATATAAATACAAAATAGAAGAAACATTTATATTTATACGATATAATGGTTGGAAAAGTTGCCATCTCAGCTGTATCGTTGGTTCTTGTGGTCGGTGTTGTCATCGGCATGGTGGCAGTTGTCCACCGCAGTGACTCTCCCGACAATGATAAACATAACATGTCAGCCTCTATGAAGGCTGTTACCACCATTTGTGCTCCTACAACGTACAAGGATGCCTGCGTTAGGAGCCTCGAGTCTGTAGCAAATAATGAAACAGCCACCCCGAAGGACTACATCATGGCAGCAATTCTGGCCACTCTTGACGAGGTGAAGAAATCATTTAATGTCACCGGCAAGACTGTTGTTAACAAGGATGATGATCCTTACGATCACATGGCAGTCGAAGACTGTAAGGACTTGTTAGATTATGCCATCGATACACTTCAGGCATCGTATTCTAGCGTAGGTGAAAGCGATATGCACACCATTCAAGATCGTGCAAATGAGCTTCGGAGTTGGATGACTGCTGTTTATTCCCTTCAGTCGTCGTGCCTCGATCAAATTCAAAAGCCCGAGTACAAATCAGCCATTGAGAATGGCATGATAAATGCTACTCAGCTTACCCACAATGCCATTAACATAATTGCTGAGCTTTCTGAAGTTCTAAAGACATTTAATGTGCCAATAAATCTGCAGGCCAACCGTCGTCGTTTGCTTGATGTGGGCGAGATTGGCGAAGATGGATACCCCACTTGGTTCGGTGCTGCAGATCGTAAGTTGATGGAAGCACACCAGAAAGGGGGTGTCGCACCTAATGCAGTTGTCGCCAAGGATGGTAGTGGACAATTCAAGACAGTAGCAGCTGCTCTTGCAGCTTACCCCAAAAACTTCAACGGCAGATACACCATCTATGTCAAAGCAGGTGTCTACGAAGAGTTCATCACCATGGACAAGAAGCAGACCAATGTTTTCATTTATGGTGATGGCCCTGGGAAAAGCATTATCACAGGGAACAGAAACTATGGAATCATGAAGATTGGCACAATGAAAACTGCCACATTCTGTAAGTTTAAATATATACATACATACATACATACATACATACATATATATATATATATATATATATATATATATATATATCACGAGTCATGACAGAATGGTAAATGAAAATCAATGATAACGAAACACAATTATATGCAGCTGCTGTAGGAAACGGATTCATCGCTAGGGGATTGACGTTCCGCAACGATGCTGGTCCAGATGGCCACCAAGCTGTGGCTCTTCGTGTCCAATCTGACATGGCCGCTATATTCGACTGCAGCATTGAGGGCTACCAAGATACATTATACTATCACGCATTCCGTCAATTTTACAGAAACTGTGTCATTTCTGGTACGGTCGACTTCATCTTCGGCATGGGCGATGCAGTTATTCAGAACAGTTTGATCATAGTGAGGAAGCCAAATGCCAATCAACAAAACACCATTACTGCTGATGGAAGAGAAGTGGCTAGGGGTACCAATGGATTGGTCCTACAGAACTGCAGGATAATTCCAGAAAAGGAACTCTTCCCATTGAGATTCCAAATTCCCACCTACCTCGCGCGCCCATGGAAGGCA